CCGGCATCAACGGTTTCACACTGAACAGAGGGCCTATAAGCGTACAGAATGTGGGAGAGCCTTCACTACCATGTCCTACCATAACCGGCATCAACAGTTTCACACTGAACAGAGGGCCTATGAGCGTACAGAATGTGGGAGAGCCTTCAAGCATAGTTCTACCCTTCAGCATAAGAAAGTCCACACTGGAGAAAGGCTTTAAGAAGACAGCATGTGGAAGTTGTCCCCATGTTTAACATGAGCGGTCTCGCACCAGACAGATATTCAAAGATCGTAGCCATTGTGAGACCCTGAGATAAGCTAAGCCTTGTGACACTTACCTTAGGGAGATGCCTCATATGTGCCAGGTACCCGAGGATGTTTGTAGAAGCTTTGTTGCACGTTTTGATCTGCCCAGGGCCCTTGGCAGTTCTGTCACTGTGGTGACCTAACACAGGTCTTCACAGAGGATACCGGTCACTCCAGCGTGCTCAGGGAAGGTGGACTTTAGTAAAGACTCAGGAGTGGCCAAGCCCATAAGCAGTCTTCACTCTCTTCCCACTGACTGGTTTAGTTGGAGACGTGACCTGGCTGTGGTCGGGGAGATCTGAGTCAGTATATGCAGGAGGCTTCCAAAGGCTTTTTTTTTCACGGACACTCTTGACACCACACATGGTATCTGTCATGGATTTTTCCAACCCTGGAACCGACACTGTTTTGGAAAGTGCAGTAATAAAGGTCTTAGTGTTGAAGCCATCTGTAACATTGGGGCTTCTTAGCATAGTAGTTATGACTCAGGCTTCTAATTGAAACTACCAGCCGTTCATGGGAGAAAGATGAGGCTTTCTGCTCCTGTGAAGGGTTACAGCCTCGGGAACCCTGTACAGGGACACTGAGTCAGAAGTGACTCCGACTCCATGGCCCACCACCACCACCACCACCATTCCCTTTGTGTGGAGGAGTTGAGAAGGAATTGTGTGGAGGGCTTCATCAGCATTAATAGAGGAGAAGGCGGTTAGTGGGTCCCTGACTTTGCCTCAGAGGACATAGAGAATGACAGGGTGGTTCTCAAATTTGGGCCTAATTTACATTAGAACCTGAGGCCTTCAGTGACACCATTTTGTGACCTGGATATCAGGTATTTGTGGGTCTAGAGTTCACACTGATGAATAGGTGTTGTTGTTCCGTGCCGACTCATAGTGACCCTGCTGAGGGTCTCTGAGGAGTGGCTAGTGAATTTGAACTGCTGACCTCATGGCTCAAACCAACCTTTGGGTCCAGTGTTTTATCCCACAGTGCCACACCAGGACTCCAGTGAATAGGGTAGTTGGTGTGGTTAGACCCAGCAAGATTGGAGTCCCTTGTTCTCAGGGAATGTTCTGTAATCTCTAGCATTGGTCAGAGGAAGCTGTTTCCAGAATCAACTTAGAAACTATGTTCTCTGGAAACCAAAACTTGGAAGAAAGGCTCACTGACTGTAAGATCTACAGGGGCCAGGTGAGAAGATTAGGTATGGAAACACTAAGTGTGAAGTCATGTGGTCTGGTTGAAGCAATATAAAGGGCATTCACAGATGTTTCAGCAGCTGTGTTTTCATGAAGTGAGGGTGTGCAGACCTGTTACCAGTGAGCAAGGTCATGGTCACAGAAAGCAATCTAAAGGTTTCTGGATCCCTGCAGACTTCTTAGTTGGTTCTTCTCATGGCTGTCATCTTAGGACAGAGAATGCAGGTCTCGCGATGTTACCTTTGTGGTCCAGCCAGTGTACCTGGTGTCTGGTTGCCATGGTCTCAGTTGTTCAGATTTGCTGTCGCTGATATAAACATCCCCCAAACAAATAAAATGTCAGTTCAGCACAACCTGTATTTTGAATGTAGCTGTGTTCATGGTTTAAAATGTGTGCTTCGTCACAAGAAGAGAATGTTGGGGGAGAGAGCAGGAAACCCCAGATCTGAGGGACTTTGGGCCAGTGCCCAGCTAATACAAGTAGTGAGGTTTCAGGCTACTACTGCTGATCCTGTCTGGGCTGCTCTCCCCCCACCTCAGTCCCAGTGGCAGGAGGGATGATGACCACACCGAGGCCATCCTCCCTGGATGTAATGTTTGCCGGCCACCAATAAGGGGTCTGTATAAGGGCTGAGTTCAAGTCCTGCAGAGCCATGTGGGACTCAGGCCTCTAAGGAAATAGGAGGGTAGACCTTTGTCATCAGAGGGCAATTCCTTCTACCCTCAATGGGTGGCCATGGTTAGATCTCCTAAAATCACCCGGATCACATGGGTGAAGGGTTCTCTTCCAGCCCTGAACCTGTGTCTGGTCTCTCCAGGCCTTAGTCCACCTCAGGACACCTGTTAGCGGAGGTGGGGCAGAGGGAGAAGTGAGCAGTTTCCCCTAGTGATACCGGAACATCCTGTTGGTACTGACCCCATGACCTGCCCAAGGCACCACTTTTAGTCCAGACGTCATCTGTCAGACAGGTACCATCAGCCCATTATTACGGCTGCCATCTTGTCCTGTATCCTGGCCGTGGCAGCTCTCACACATCCACCCGACAGCTTTTGGCTCCTGGCATATTCCCGTTCTCTCAGCCTATCAGGGGTGCCCTCCCCAGTCCCCTCCTCCTCCTCCAGTGACATCCCTTCCACAGTTAAGCTGAGATGGTTACTCATCCATGAAACCTTTGGAGTTGATGTTCGCTCCTTTTGTTTGTCCTTAATGCTTTGATTTCAAACCTGACACCAACCCACTATTGGCCCTAAGTTTGTATCCTGTAAGTTTATATCCTCACAACTGAGTGGAATTTTTGCTTTGTATCACTTCTTACTGTAATTTGAGTTACCACAGCAAATTGGTTTTCCATTCAACAGTTCATACATATTTTAATTCATGGCGTTGATTTCAGTCCCCACAATATAACCCTACTCTTCCCACTTCCTGCCTGGTTTTCCATTGAGATTCATCATTCTTTCTTAGTCCTTCCTGACTTGTGAGCTTTATCCTGGGACAATGGCAGTTCTCATAAGGTTGATTGTTCTAGAGAATGCAAACCTCCCTGGTGTTACTGCTCACCTTATAGGCTCATTGTTTGGCTGGAAGTTGAGCCTTGAGAGTGGCTTCAATGACTCCAGGATGACTAAGGGGTCTAGTCTTGGAGGTTTCACTCCTCCATCAGGACACTGAGCCTGGTCTTTTATTATTATTATTATTATTATTAATTATTATTATTGTTCCACATTTTCCTCCCACCTATCCAGGACCTCCTATTGTGACCCTTCCCTTTCAGAGTACTAGGTCATGGTCACCTAGTACTGTCTAGTTCTGGTCTCAAGGCCATGGAGACTGAGGTTCCTGTGATCTAAAAGTCTTTTGGACTAATTCTATGTGGCTGTTTTCTTCACTCTTCTTTGCCTGAGACAGGGATAGATCAATAGCAAACAAGTGTTTTACAACTAAGGAATACATTTGCATTTAAGGACCCAACAACATACAGGCAGGAGCTCAAGGCTTTGTTGATCTTGGGGACTAGTGCATGAGAGGTGCTTCTTAACTTTTTATTGTTTATTGATAGAGGCAACGTGATTATTTTGTACCTACATTTTTATGTGGTAGGTGATGTGCTAGGTAATGATTCAAGTTGGTCATTATCATGAATACAAATGGAAGTCTCATATTAGAAGAACAAGGTTGAAACTGTGCTCAATTTGGTACCTTGTCCTATAAAACTATGACTTGGTTCAGAAGGTTGAACAGTAGTGTCTTGTTCCGTAGATGCCTGTGAGAAGGAGCTTTTCTGGTCTCTTTCTGAGTCACCATTTCTTTCTCTCTTTTTCCAATTGGATGAGGACATACACTCCAAAACGTCTGACAACACAACTGAGTCTCCATAAGCTAGAGGATTTTATCTTCAAAGTCAGATTCTGTTATGGTACCATTTGTGATCTTCCTATACCCTCAGCAGGTTGTAAACCAAATCCAAACCAACTCACAGCACCCTACAGGGCAGAGTAGAACTGCTCTCCAGGGTTTCTGAGTTAGGAATCTTTGCAGGAACAGAAAGTCTCATCTTTCTCCCATGGTGAGTTCGAACTGCTGATGTTGTGGCTAGCAGTCTAACATGTAATGCACTACGCCATCCGTACTCCCTCAGTAGGCTAGTATAACTCAGTTTTACTGAGAGAAGTGAAGAAAGACCTGAACAGCATTTTGCTAATAACAAGGAAGTATATCCATGAATCATTTGTTGTTGTGAAGAGCCGCCAGTCAGTTCCAACCCATAGCAGCCCTGTCTAGGGTGTCCAGGCAGCAGCTGGTGAGTTTGAACCACCAACCTTGTGGTTCCACCTGACTCAACCCATTAGGCCACAGTGCCTCATCAGGACTCCCTTAGTCATTTATTCCTTCAATTACTCATCAGCTATCTACTGAGCACGTGACTCAGGACTGGTCAATCGAAAGCAAGAATGATTGGGTCAGGGATGATCACATAGCACAAGACAGGCCAATGAGAAACAAAGGATGTTGGCTCTGGGCCCTTGGAGTTGACCTGCCAGGAGGATCCAAGTTGGGGATGCAAGCAGACATGTTTCTCTTAAAGAAATGACTACCTGGGAGCCACGTAAAACTGAGTGATGGCGAGAGAAAATCTGTGTCATCTTCATGAGGTCTAGACCCAGTTATGTCTGAAGTTATCCTGTAGAATTTTGGGTTCTAAAAAACCAGATTATCTTTGTTGAGGCCTTTTAAACCTTCCTCATAGTGGTTCTCACATGTCACCCCTTCCTCTCCTGCCCAGGACAGAAACTCCTGAAGCTCAGGGGGCTTTCCCACCACACCCAGGGCCAGGGTCAAAACTAGGTCCAGACAATTATTATTATTATGTCCAGATTCTTGGGGCTCACCTTCCACTAACATAAAGGCTGAGCAGCTTGTGGACTCTGCCTTCTGACACCCTCCTGACAGCATAGAAAAGGGTCACAGCCCCAAAGGAAGTGCCAGGCTCTCTGGAGACAGCCTCAGACTGCTGAACCAGACCCACCTGTACGGTGCCATCCATGGGTTCACCTTCTCATCTGTCCAGAAACCTCTTTTCTCTCATTATTACTGGATGTAGCTTGGTTACTTGGAGCTAGGCTCTTCTCTTCCCTGGAAACTGTTACGTGTGTGTTATGTGTGTGCAGGTGTGTGTGCGTGCGCACACATGTGTTGACTTCCTTGATTGTGCACATTTCAAAGGGATGGCTTCGGCCAAAAATAGAAGGTCTTAGAGGAAGCATTCCTGGGTGTTAAAATTGTCCAGAAACTTATTTAGCTTTTTAAAAAGATTTACATACATTTTAAAGAAGCAGAGAAAGTCTTCTAAAGTGAGTACTTTAAGGAAAGGGAAGGGGGATGTCTCAATTCTTGTCCCTTTTTTTTTTTTTAAACACAGAGAATTAATGAAGCTTCTCACACTGAACCACAAGGTCAGCAGTTCAAACCCACCAGCTGCTCATTGGGAACCCTATACAGGGTCGCTATGAGTTAGAACCAGTTCAACAGCACTTACAACAGCAATCAGTCACTAACTGCCTGTTGCTCTTAAGACCTGGCCCTTCTCAGCCTTGGTTAGGCTTTCACTCCATTCAGGAACCCCTTGGAAATCCCGCTCCAATTCAAGGTCACAGTTGGTTTTGAGGCTTTCCATGGTGTTTGTTAAATACTCTAAAAATGTAAGATTCTGTCATCTGAAAGCTAGGCCACTGCACAGCAGTATATGGATTTGATTCTCTGAAGCATCTGCCGAAGCCAGCAAATGTGGCTAACCCATTGGCTGCCGTACTGGGAGAGAGATTGGCTGTGGAGTCCGCCTCGGCCTAGTCCTTCATTTGCCACCCAGCCTCCCTCTGTGGGTAGAGGCTCCCAATTCCCTTTGCTGAAATCCCAACGTGAAAGGGGACTGGGAAGACCATCCATGCTCTGGTCCCTTCCTTCGCCCTTGGTTTCAGCAGCCCAGCCCACTCAGTGTCCCTCTACCACAGAGGATGTTTGTCTATTCTGTAAAGGCTCAAGCTGGAGGCTCTAGGCCTCTGTTTATACACTACCCTGTGATGGGCTCCCATCCCACCCCCATCTCGTTAACAAAAAAAACCTCATCAAGCAAATAATGACAGTTACATGACATTAATGACGTAACAGCAGAGACTATTTATTGAATATACCAGTTCTGGTTGTAGTCACTTCATCTTCCCTACAACCCTGTCAGCTAAGGACTGGTGCGTTAGTGCAGCCGTTAAGAGCGTGGGTTTGTCGCTGGCTCTACTGGAAACCCCAACACTGGCTCTAATGTTCACTCATCAGGCTAACTTGTTAGCTTGCCTTTAGGGTAAAATCTCAGCTCCTTCTCAGTCCTCGGCAGGCCTCAGACAGTTCACACTGCCAAAAGCCCTTATAGTAAAGCAGATGCAGGAAAGCCTCCAGCTATAGTTCTGACCTCAGCCAACAGCCGCGTGTTGGAAATTCTGCTCAGGAGTGCTGCAAATGTGGGGCGCCTTCAGTCAGTAGAACAGTGAAAGCCACACACTTGTCTGGAACCAGAGTTCACATTCCAAAAACAGCACATGATCCAGTAGCATCTTTGACCTGGCCAATAGACAAAGACTCCCATTTGAGAGGCGCTGTGAGAGACAACCCTCAGTCAGATGTGGCATCTCATCACGGACCAGACGACCACCTGTGTCATGTATGTGGAGTGTCATGTATGTGGAGACGGCCCTCAGTCAGATGTGGCATCTCATCACGGAGCAGACCACCCATGTCATGTATGTGGAGATGGCCCTCAGTCAGATGTGGCATCTCATCATGGAGCAGACGACCACCCATGTCATGTATGTGGAGTGTCATGTATGTGGAGATGGCCCTCAGTCAGATGTGGCATCTCATGGAACAGACGACCACCCGTGTCATGTATGTGGAGTGTCATGTATGTGGAGATGGCCCTCAGTCAGATGTGGTATCTCATCACGGAGTAGACGACCACCCGTGTCATGTATATGGAGTGTCATGTATGTGGAGATGGCCCTCAGTCAGATGTGGCAACTCATCACGGACCAGATGACCCCCAATGTCATGTATGTGAGAAGACTTGTGAAGATTTTATTTTCTAATGGCTGAGAGATCTGGGGAAGCTAGCAGGCCCATGACAGAAACGTCTTTAGTTCATCTGCTGGGACGCTCCAAATCATGGGGCTTCCGTGCCCATTAACTCAACAAGTGCAATCCCCCGGCTGCCTTCTTCCAATGGGATTGTGCATGGATGTGACAGGCATAGCCCAAGGGGTCAAGAGTTGGAAAGGAATCCTAAGTGGGAAGATGATGAAAATGTCTGGGGATGGTTTCCTTCCCATTGATATAACTAAGCTTGCAGAGCACACTTGTATGGATCTGATGAGCCTTTAAGTATGAATTTTTAATCACTGGTGTGGCACTGTAGGATAAGCACTGGACTGTGAATCAAAAGGTCAGTGGTTCAGTGGTTCAAACCCACCAGTTGGCCCTTGGAAACCCTATGCAGGTTCGCTATGAGTCGGAACTGACTCAACAGGCACTTAATACAAACACAACAACTACCCAAGGAGCCCTGGTAGTTCAGTGCGTTCTGAGCTGACTGCTCACCCCAAGGTCAGCAGTTTGAACCTACCACTTGCTCCACGGGAGAAAGAGGAGGCTTTCTGCTCCTGTGAAGATTTACAGCCTTGGAAACGCTACACAGAGGGGGCTGCTATGAGTCAGAACCGACTCCGTGGCACACCACCACAAATTACCACACTCCTCGTGATTTACAACATGTACTATCTTACAGGTCTGTAAGTTAGAAGTGGGACATGGGTCTCACTGAGGTAAAATCAAGGGTTGCGTTTCCTTCCGGAAGCTCTAGGAAAGAATTTGTTTCTTTGCCTTTTTTGTGGCTGCCTGCATTCATTGTTTCTGGAGCATCCCTTCATCTTCAAAACCAGCAACAGTAGGTCAGGTTCTGCCATCTCCCCTCCTGCCTCCTTCCCTTTAGAAGCACCCTACCATTATACTGAACCCACCTAGTTAACCCAGAATAATTTCTCCATCGAAAGATCCTTCATTTAACCACATTTGCGAAGTCCCTTTTGTCATGTAACGTATCCTCAGGTTCTGAGGATTGAACACGACATCTTTGGGACGGTGGAGTGGGGAGTATTTCTTCCTACTATATTCTGATTCACTCAATCCTCAAACCATCTACCGTGACTCGTCGTGGATCTATCTTGACTCGCCGTGGACCTATCTTGACTTACTGTGGATCTATCTTGACTCGCCATGGATCTACCTTGATTCACTGTGGATCTGCCTTGACTCGCTGTGGACCTATCTTGACTTACTGTGGATCTATCTTGACTCGCCATGGATCTACCTTGATTCACTGTGGATCTATCTTGACTCACCGTGAATCTACCTTAATTCACTGTGGATCTACCTTGACTCGCCGTGGATCTATCTTGACTCACCGTGGACCTATCTTGACTTACTGTGGATCTATCTTGACTCGCCGTGGATCTACCTTGATTCACCATGATCTATC